ATGGCCGCCAATTTTGATCTCAGCCGGTCAACTTCGAATGGTTAAAAATGTACTTTCGGCTATGCGTTGGCCCAAAAAAAGTACACAGCGTTTGCAAATAACGTTCAAACTCTATTATTTTGCAAAAATCTCGGATATGAAAATTACGTTTCAGTAGCACTTTAAAGCGTTATACGTGGGCCTATAAACGCGCTATTGAGCTTTTCAGCATTTTTTTCTTTTGTTCCTATTTCATAGATTCCCAACGGGTATATCGTAGACCTTGTAAACTCGGACGAGTTCAGAGTTCTCATCAAGGAGAAGGGAGCAAAGTTTGATGAGAAAAACAATGTTGAGTACTTCCAAGTTCCGGCTCACGATGGACTGACTGAGGTTGACTATCTATATGACTTGAAAGAGGTAAACTGAGACAGTTTTTGTTCGAGTTTTTGTTTCGTTTGAAAACATTCTTTAATCGAATATTACACGAGCTTCCGTCCATGCATGATTTCTTATCTGCCTGGTATTGACGGCAATTACACTCAATTTACTGATACACCATACAGTTGCAGAGTGGGCAGATTTATTTTTATTAGTTTTTTTTTTGGGTGGGGGGGGGTGCGTTCTATTAGATGCATTTTTAATTGAGCCCTCATTTTAAGGAATTCAGTAATCTGTTTTCAATCTTTTCTCCTCTCGGTTTTTGCTTGTGGTGAAATGTTTTGTTCTCGACGCGGAATAGGCCAGTTCATACAAGGAAAATCTCACCCAACCATGTTCTAGCTATGCTGCAACCTCCTCAAGCTTAAACAATGTTTCATTGTGTTCCAGGGAATATTGATGCGTCGCGCAAAAAATGAATCTAAATGTTATATGGAACTATTGCCGGTAAACTTGAGAAAGGTAGGGTATTATCTTTGCGTAAGTTGCCACTTTTTCGTTCATAATGAACCTGTTTGGAAAGTAAATGATACTGTGATAGTCCTGTAGATGCCAATCATTAGTGGTTGTATTGAAGAAAATGATGCTACTCAGTTCAGTTTTCAGATATTTTTCCTTGAAAATTTAAGCAACTGATGAAGATGGTGATCATTTTTCCCTTTTTCATCATAGACCAAATCTCCTTCCATACGCAAGATCATTGATCAAAAGTTCCAAGCTCTACCGCAACAAGTCGACAAAACTCTCCTAGGGCCCGAAATACAAGATTTCTGCGATCAGTTTCCAGTCATCCGTAAGTTTGAAGTTAGATTAAGTTCTGAGGCGGTTGATGTCAGAAGAAGAACGGGCGGGAGACGAACTCGTTCAGGTAAATAATAAAACAACGGCGCTTATCGATCTGTTTGGAAAGTCTGAATTCAGTCCAGTTCGGTCCATAATCATGCGAGTGACTTAAAGAATATCAGACGAGCGCGAAACTGGAGTCCGATTTGTTAATTACTTTTTTTTTTACGGGCAGAATTGGATTATAAAAATTTTGTTACCGATTAAATCAAAACAATGACAAAATTCCAGGCACAAACTAGAAATCGGTTATCCTTGTTCATAAAGTACGACAGAAAACTAGGCAAAAATAACGTCAATAGTGCACGATCATGTGTACTGTACAATTACACTGGCATGAGCCGGTGTACAGTCCTTTTCTGCTGTCAGTCCAATTGCAGGCATAACACTTACTCTGTCCTATTAGCGCTAAAAGAGGGTCAATGAACTGCTATGCATCCAGTACTCTAATGACGGACACTGCTCCAATCCATCATTTCAGAACATGTGTCGAAGAACATGCATATATCAAGGTTTGAACAATGGAAGCTGTCTCAAACTGTTATCAACTTCAGAAAAAAAATTGCAATATACTTGCAGCCGAGGCTCATTTTGCTCCAGTTCTTGCCATTCTCTGAACCTGCATATAGCATATTAGGAGGAAAAAGTGAAGGGATATATTCAGATTTATCATCAGGTGTTTAAATAAAACGTAGCTGACCACAGTCTACATAATTTATTACAGTTTGTGGGAACATTGCATCACCCACACTTTGCCAACAGTACTTTGATGATGGATTGTGTTCCAATCCATCAATCCGTGGAATGTGTCGAAAGACTTGTGGTCTATGTTCAGGTTTGTCTTACTGAAGTATTACCCTGAGTAAGAGATTGTGTTACTTTTACTGTTAAATTGAATTTCTCCTTCAAGTGCTTTTTCAACCTGAGACAATTCTTACTAAAGAATTCTTACCAAAACACTTAGTATTTGCAATTGTATGAGGAGTAAATACGACAAATATCACAAAGTTTGACACCTGGGATAGGAAACTGTTATGAAAACGAACAGTTCTAATTTCGTTGCGTGACTTTGAACAATGCGTGATTATTTTTCTATGTTTCTCTATGGTTTTAAATAGTTAAGCGATTGCGGTATCCTATATATGACAGCTCATGAATAGTTCGTTTTCCTTTATTTGACAGTTCATGAATTGTTCGTTTTAGGACTAGATTTTTTAGGTTTTGATTTCAGTTGCGATCAGCGTCAGTACTGCTAACATTGAATTAAGCTTCATCGTATTAGTTCTCCCAAACCACAGAGATCCACTCTTCAGAATCTTCTAATCAAGTACAATAAAGATTAAAGAAATCTCCGGTGGTTTAGTACGTTTTCCCGGGGGGTACTCGATATATTCCTGGGTGGGAAGGTGCGGCGCGGCCCCTCATACCCTGACCCTGTTTAAGACAAATATCGCTGATTTTCCTACCCTGTTTAAGACAGAATCCCTATTTTTGATACCCTGTTTAAGACATTTAATGTGCCTGAAATCAATGCCAAAATCAACATAATTCAATATTAATTAAAATTAGACCTTGTAAAAATTTTGCTGTTTATCTTCCAAGAAAAGATATCCTGTTTAAGACAAAAATTGATAAATCGATACCCTGATTAAGACAAAAAATGATAAATTCGATACCCTGTTTAAGACAAAAATCTCGAAAATCATACCCTGGCTGGCCGCACGTCCCCATTAAGCCCTTATAAGGGAGTACCCCCCCGGGTACGTTTGTCGCCTTCTGCACCAGAAACCAATTAAGGTCGTAACAGTCAAGATTGCAAAAAACTCGCTTAAAAACTGCCACGCATTTGTTTACTCATTTAAGTACTTAGGAGTAGAGCCTATATTTCATGCATAATTTATTACAGTCTGTGGGAACATTGCATCACACACGCTTTGCCAACGGTACTTTGATGATGGATTGTGTTCCAATCCATCAGTCCGTGGAATGTGTCGAAAGACTTGTGGTCTATGTCCAGGTTTGTCTTATTGATGTATTCCCTTGAATGTGTTACTGCTACTGTTAATTTGAACTTCTCATTCAAGTGTTTTTTGAAACCTTAACCAATCGCAGATTTCCAGCCAAGTAAGAAAAATATCAAAAAAGGACGACAACTGTTGTAAAATAACTCGATTAAGGTCGTCAAGGCAAGGGTTTCTTCAAAAATTAGAATTCACCTTATGAGTAGGAGTGTCTGCGATAAAAACCCTATAATTCTATAATTCTTTTCTGGATTTTTGAGCAAAATTGAGGTGTCCAACTCACCATTGCGAAATTAGTCAGAATATTTCTCCTCAAGCGAGGATTAGGTCAGCAGTATTCCACTTCTCGGCTTCTCTTTATAACAATCTGTTCGATTCGAGCTCTATATAATAAACATCTTATTAACCGAGCGGGAGGTCTGTATGGAAGAATCTTGACCGAGGTCGCCAGTACAGACCGAACACAGTGAGGTCTGTACCAACGACCGAGGTCAAGAATCTCCCATACAGACCGACCTAGCTCGGTTAATAAGATGTTTATTATATGGCTGTGTCTTATATGCCAATTTTTTATATTCTTTGTACCTTTTTTTTCTAGACCGGTCTAGATGCCAGTCTAGATGGGAAAATCTGGACCGCTTTCAATATTGATTTAATTCGTGAATTCGCAGTCCCAGTCCTTGTGAGACACAGCCATATAATAATGGAAAATATTAAATAAAAGTTATTAAAGGAACGCTTACTAACCAAACTAAATGACTGTGTAGCTCCATTTTACTAAAATTCCTGATGGTGGCATTAAAAAAATGCATCGGTGATATATCATAACCGAAAAGTGAATCGACTATATTGATTTCCAGCTGTATCTGTTCATGGTGAATATTCACAATGGAGCCCCTGGTCTTCTTGCACGCGGACATGCGCAGGTGGGACTCAGCAACGTTCCCGTTCATGAAGGGGAAGAGGAAACTGTCGCAGACGGGGACCATATACACAATCAAGGAAATGCAACACACAAAGTTGCCCAGGTGAATATCTTCTTTTGCAAACTGTTCGGCATCTGACAAGTGCAAACTGATACAAGCAGCCGTGAAATCGTTCCGGTGGGAAGAGAATTATTCATGAGTTCTTGAGGTTGCTTGGCTTAAAAACTTGTATTTACTTGATAATTGTTCATCCAATTCCTCGGTGATATAGACACTCCATGTACTATGCTTTACTCCTTGTTTCCAGTTTGTTTCTTGATGATCTCTCGACAAATTATTATTTTCATTGGACATATGTGGTTAACATAGCAATGCTACGTCCTGTGAAAGAGCCCTCGGATTTCAATCACTCTTTTAGAGAAAGCTAATAGAATTTTCACCAACTGATTTGTTCTTGTTCAACCTTTTGCTAAACATTTCGATAAATTCTTTCAATGTCTTGTTTCAGTGTGTGCGAACATTGCAGCTGAAGAGTTATGCCAAAAGCACTTTGATGATGGATTGTGTTCGAATCCATCAATCCGTGGGATGTGTCAAGCGAGGTGTGGATTATGTCCAGGTTTGTCTCAGTGGCCGTCAATAGTTATATCAAAAAAATTAATCATGCGTTAAAGGAATGGTACAATAGAGAAAGTTTATTAGGTTCGGCGATTGTAATTGGAACATATTGTTCAATTCTACGCCAAAGATGTGGGGGCACTTCAGTTTTCATGAGCTTTTTCTCATCTGACACGAAGAATTTCGAAATTTGCGTGAAAAATCGGTTGCCGTGGCGGCAACATAACTGGTGCATACTCATTGAAAGAGCTGGGGAAAGATTTGTTGCTTCAGTTAAGAACGGTCGAAGGGCTGTTTACCCCTAGCATAACCTCTTCTCTGATGGGGGCTATCGTCAAAATTTCCATCAAATTTTAAACAAGAGTGCCTGATACCTTTTTTTCAGCTTGCAAGAATGCATTGACAGATTCATGGTGCCAAAAGTATTTCAACGATCGATCATGTTCTGAATCTTGGGTCAAGAGAGCGTGTCGGAAGACTTGTCTCTCGTGTTGAGCTAAATATTCCATACTTTTCATGTAATAACCTTAGTTATCCAATCCTTGGAAAAAATCAAGTAATTCCTACATTATAATAAGTAATTAGCTAATTCTTAATGCCTTAATTGTCCCTCTCTTATCAAAAACCCAAGGAAATCTACGATGTGGAAAAAAAGAAAAGAAATGCGAATTTCAAGGAAAAATCTAATAGAAGTTTCTTCCGGAAATAAGTCAGCTGTGAACAGACGCATGTTTGGTTACAAAATCTGTTGAAAAAGAAGACTGGTTATAAAAGATATGTTTTCGTTTTCTTTAAAGCATGGGACAAAGGAAAAGTTCAGAGTTCTCATGAGGAATCCAACTTCCGTCCTTCAGATATTGTGCTAGAATAATCTAACACTGAGCAACAGAAAACTCAGTGGTGATTGGGTAATTACAGGGCTCATTTGAGACACACGAGTCGCATACGAACTTCTCATGGGGACTCAGAACCTAGTTTCTTTGTCTCACGCGGGCGGAAAGACGAAATGGTCTGCTTTATCTATCCATTCCTGAGATAAAGCTTGAGTCCATTTTTTTTTTTTTTTAAGAACCGATTTGTTTCCGAAAGTCATTTTAAAGAAAATAAATGACCGTACAGCTGATGCGAACCACTTAATGTTTCTCTCTTTACAATGAATTCAAGCCATGTTGGCCATGGCTCCAACTTGGATGGGAGACCGTAAGATTTTCCTTGCGGTAACCTGGTTTTTTTTTTTAATCTTGATAAATTCCAGTTTAAACACAGTTATGTTCATTAAAGAAGTAACATTCAACTGGTTCTTGAGTTATCCATATCTTTATTAATAGGGATTCATTCTAATGTTTGTTGAATAAAAGACAACCCTTCAGTTTATTAAAAGACAAAATTGGTACCAAGCAAAAATTTTTTTCTCCGTCCCAGAAAGAGGGAAATTTGAACTCTGCCTTTGAGGGGTTGGGAATTTGAACCAGAACCGTCAAGTCTTATCTTTAAATACGTAGATCGATTCGACACTCGAACATCCCTCCGGGCATTTGCACTTTTTGTGTTCAAATGCCCTACTCAAAGTGCTGAATTTTTACCGCCAATTTTTTAGCTCATTCATGCGCATGCGCGATATTTGAGTTATCGTCGTAACATGGTGGATCAGATGTAGACGGTAGTTGTGGACTGTAGACGGAAGTGATTTCACATATTATCCCCCTGCACCCCACCTCTTCACCAACGCTTAGGCTCAATTATGCAGAGAATAGAAATGTTTCTATTCTGTAGTAATGTTATTAAATTCAAATAATAATCTTGCAACTTCTAAAAATTTGCAAATATTATATGTATTCAGACTGTTAGAAACCAATATGTTCAAACCTTTGAGGACCAAGGTTACACGCTTCCACTCGCAACATAGACCACCAAGGAAGGTTGCTCTTTTAACTTTGTTTTGGTCTCTTGTATTAGCTCGAGTACTTTGGTTTTATCCCAACCAGAGAGATAACATCAAAGATAAAGAAATGAAAAAATTAGCTTTTCGCTTAATGAACGTAAGTCCACAAGAACAAGTTCCAGCTAACCACCTATCCATTGAGCTAACCGCCTCCCGGTTAGCTCAATGGATAGAGCGCTGGACAGTTGTGCGGGAGGTCGAGGGTTCGAGCCCCGGCCGGACCAACACTCAAGGTCTTAAAATAATTGAGAAGAATTTGCTACCTTTCTATAACATCAAGAAATGGTTAGATATTCTAGTCTTCTTGGATAGGGACGAATAAATGGAGGTCTCGTCTCCTGCAGGGTTGGGGTAGGAGATGTTAATTTCCCACACACGAGATTACTGTGTGATGGATGTCCTCCTCTGGGGTGGGTTTGCAGAGCCCCATTTAACCCAGCATATTCTGAACTGGGCATCTCTGCTAAAAAATATGGTTGATAAATAAATAAATAAATAAATTCCAGATACCACAGATTACCGTTATAAAATTCTGTTCGAAGATCACGGTTGTCAAAAATCTCACCCTGTCATGGTAAGATGTACTGAAAGAAACTTCAAGTGTAATGACCATCAACCCTATCTTGAATGAAACCGTGAATTATCAGTCGGTATCGGGGAAAGCTTAGGTGATTTTTGTGAGAGAAATCAATACCATGTCGGTTTTCTATTGCACAGAACAAGGATCAAGTTGTTAAAAAGTGTGAGCCAGCGAGGCATGCGAGTTCGTGGTAAACAATAGTTGACTTGAGACGAAAAAAATGTATAAGATTAATGAATAATAAATTTATGAAAATTACACATCTAAAATCGAATCAACTTTCCAAGAAGGATCAAATATATCTTGTTTATTAATTATGGAACTTTTAACATAATGTGCTCTAAGTGTTGCCTGGAGATAAAGCTTTAAGGGTACAATTTTCTATGGACTTAATCTACCTTGTTTTCCATCGTCCTGGAAGTTTTATGTAATGTTATAGTTATCAAATTTCTTTTATTACAAAAATGGACTTTTTTATTTATTAATCAACTATGATAAACTCAAAGCAACACTACATCGACCGATCATGGCTCAACTGGTTACCCAAAGCATTCCAGAAATTCTAGTGCCAAAAGCTTGTACTAACTTTCTCAAAGATTCTGTCATGCCTAATAAGTTTTGGCCTGATCTTCATGTCAATAGAGCAACAATGCCAGTGATCCCAGTTATTGCCCATGAAACCCACAAAAGAGGGCTTACTCTGCAGAGCAGGCGTAATTTGGGCGCGCGATTGCTCAGTATTTTCTTAGCGCAAATGGCCGTCATCTTTGATTTTACGGGCAGCGGGAGGCTGGGAAGAGAAAGAAATTTGTACTAAAGGGGAGGCTAAGGGGGCAAGGACGGTCAAAAATAAGGAGAAGGGTGGGGGAGCCCCGTCCCCCTACCGTTGTCTCTGACACCAAATTAAACATGGCCGGTAAAATAAACGATCGCGCGCTTCTTAACGTTAACCCGCCCTGCACTGCAGGTTAAAGAGGACTATCTAGCTTGTGAGGTACATACGGTACACATTTCCTCAACAGTAATCTTAAATCATTGAATTACGCACTTAAAAGTATCTAAAATTTCTAAATACGCTTGTGCATTTTGATTTTTAAAACTTGGTTATCACTGCATTAAACGAAGGAACCAATTTTGCATTAAACGAAAGAAAAGGATGCAAATTGGACGGGTACATGAATGAGCTGGGTCGAAGGGCCCTTTGACTGGTAAAAGGCAACTTTCTTTCTGTAGGCCCTTTCTCCCGAGCCGTGTGATCGCTAGCTGATTGGTAGGCCGGCCTTCAATTCCATTTCCGGTCAATACAAAATGCAGACTGAGAATTAAAAATGTATTTCGTCTCATATGTGAGAATGTCATCTTACAACTTACGAAGTGTCACGCAATCGCTTTACCGCGATCATCTTTCACGATCATTTGCAACATTGTTGAATTTGTTTCAACACTAACATCTCGCGCGCGAAGTGACAATACCATAGGAAGGCTTGAAATTCTAGTTAAGAACGATTTTAGCCGCTTATTAAAAAACGAGTTCAATGGCCGCATTTTTAAAACAAAATATATGAGTTTTTCACAACAGTGCAAATGATCGTGAAGGATGATCACGGTGAAGCGATTGCATGACGCTCTGTAAATTGTAAGATGACATGTTCTCGCGTCATGAATCAGACAAAAAAAAAAACAGGTTAAATTCTCAGTCTGCATTTTATCTTGGAAGATTTTACGCCGTTAACCGTCATTTCTTTCAGTCGGTAATGTATATACTGGAAGACTTTACGCCCTTAACTGGCTAACGGCGTAATTCCTTTGAGTCGGTAATATATATACTAAAGGATTTTACGCCGATTTTAATTCATCTATCGGCGTAATTTCTTTCAGTCGGTAGTGCATTCACAGGAAGATTTTACGCCATTATCTAACAGTGTAATTTTTATTCAGTCGGTAATATATTTACGGGAAGATATTACGCCATTAACTAACTGCGTAATTTCTTTCAGTCGGTAATACTAGAAGATTTTACGCCGTTAGCTAACGGCGTAGTTTCTTTCAGTCGGAAATATAAATACTGGAAGATTTTACACGGTTAACTACCGCCGTGAAATCGTACAGTTAGTATACATATTCATTACTGTTTTTTGTTTGTTTTTGTTTTTTAATTTTTTTTAATTCATTTTTTAGACTGAAATAGTCACATATTATGTTCCCGGACGTTCGGAGCGAATTCACAGCGTTTTGTTTGGGTTCCTTGGTTAGCGTACGGCTTATTATTCTACAGGCGAAGCGAAACGAAACGAAACCAGGCGAGATAGATATAATAACGAAACGAAAGGAATAATATGAGAAGGCCAACATCTGTTTATATTCTAATTGGTAATTATGTTTAAAATGAAACATCGATTTCTCCAAAATCCTTGTGAAAGTTATCGTACTATATTAGAAAATATATCGGAATTATTCCTTTAGTTTTGTTATATCTCGTCTAGTTTCGATTCGTTTCGTTTCGTAAAACGGCGTTTCACAGTGACCTAAAAAATGATAAAAATGATTATATTAATAGAGAAGTGCGAAGATGTTTTAAAACTAGGCTAAACGGCCCTAAAGCCGGCCAAGGAACTCACAAAATGCAGACAAAGAACCGAAGTGAGTTTGTTGTTTATTCAAAACTGGTCCAGATTTTAAGGTAAAGAATGCCAACGCTTATTCCCGTAAAAATCGTTATCTCTCGGCCACTGCACAGCATAAACAATTTGTGTGTTTACGAGGGCTTATTTTGTGAAATCGGGCTACCTGTGTTAAATGGGGACAGCGGAACATATTCAAAATGTATGACTTTAAAAATAGCCCTATATTTAGTACTGACATTTTGCGCAGTGAGCCCGCGAGCTAAAGGGATAGAAAGGATGATAAAAATAGAATCTGCCGTAACATATTTTAGCATATAGCCACACTTCCCTGATGTCTGAAGCATGGACAGGAAACAGCTGACACTTTTCGGCAGTCGGCAGGTTTTGGGTACCGGGCACGAAAATAATTACACGTCTTCTAACACTGTGCAGTCGTACAACACGAAACGCTTGCGGCAAAATTTTTCTTTGAACTCTCCTTCTTTGCCTCAAAGCAATAAATAGATTCAAAAGAGAAATAGTACAACCATATTTCCTCTTTCAATATTGACGGCGGAACGGCTGAAAGTAAAGCGGTGAAAGGTCAATTCTTCCTCCTTGCAAATGCGAAGATTGAACGTGCTTCTAAAATCAGAACCAGCAGCCATAAGTAATTCAGGTCACGTCATTTTGTATCACAAGTGTTACAAGATAAGTATTTACACCAGTGCACCGTAGGAGGCAAGAAAATTTGGTTGTGCGGGTTAAAGCAACCTTTCTTCTGAAAACGCATCTTTGAAGTCTCGCTTCCTCACCCACCCCTCCCATTGTACTTGCGAAAGAATCGGTACGTGACCTGAAGAGTGCCAGGCTGCTCAGCACATCACGTGTACCAAACGAAACAAAAGCAAAACAGGTAATCAGGAAGTCAAAATGTTCAAAAATGGAGGGTGACAAGAAAATAATTTTGTGCTCTCTTCTTTTATTAGCCTTCAGTGTTACTGAAATTTTCCCTTCACATGCCTACACTAACATCTGGGCTGTGAAAATTCGTGGTAGTTTACAAAAAGCAAAGGAGTTAGCTGTTAAACATGGTTTTATCTACGACAAACATGTAAGTTGTTTCTTGCGATGCGTTTTTCACTTTTCGAGATAACCGTTCGCTATCGTACGAGGATTGTTCAATTTCTAGCTTACTATGGTTGGTTGAGTGGATTCTAAAAGTTTTTATTTTTCGAATGGACGGGAACCGTAACGCCGTTACTTTTTTAATAATTTTCAAGTGCGAGCAAAATCAAGACAGCTACTGAATGTACATGTATAAGCTTGGAAAATCTTTATAGCGTCGGGTTGTTGTTAGCGGCTGATTCGCTGCAGATTGATCTGTGGTCTGCTTAATACTATATTATTTAAAAGATATGTCGCTCTGTTAGCAGGAATAAATTTAGTTATCAGTTATGACAGTGATTAGAATCCTTCTTTCACTTTTACTTGACGAATCTTTTTTGCTATCCCCGGAAGAGAAAATTCCCCTTTTTTTGTGGAAGTGTTCATGACACTCACTTCAGTGTCAGCTTACTTGGTAACTGAGGTCAGCTTCATTAGTTAGATAGTTTAATCTCAAAAGTATTGCAGCCCAAGGGCTGAATTACACATTTTTACAATCCAAGAATTTTAAAATTTAAATTTAAAATTCAAAAACCTAATTACACATCTTATTATACCAGCAGTTTACAATATTATAACATAATAATAAATTAAATAAAATATATTAGCTATAAATGTAAATTAATTAAAATAAATGTAAGTTAAAAGTATCTACATTATCATCATCATCATTATTATTACTATCATTATCACACGTGCTGTAACAAAAGTAAAGCATATCGTATCGATATTTATCGATATTTCGCGAGCCTGCATTGGGTGTGACTAAGTTGGCGGTAATCAATGACATATCAACTGCATCAAGCACTAATAGAGTAATTGTCTCATTTTACCCTTCAAATTTTGATAATAATGCTTTGGAAAAGTACTGAGTTTATTTTAGATCTTTTGAAGGGCCAGGATGTGATACAATTAATGCCAATACAAAAAAGCAAAATAGTCAGTTGACATGAGCTAAACAGAGGTTAATGAAATTAAAAAATGTTGCAATTTACATATACTGTAACCAGACTTAAATATATATGGGAAATAAAATGATTCTAGATGCAAGAAATGTCGAGAGAGACATTTAAGCACAATTTGTACAAGACAAGCTTTCAGGTGTGCATAAATGAGTTTCAGCTCATTAACAAGCCAAAATGTTTGTGAAATTGTGTTGCTTTAAGGAGCTAGTTAAAGAAATGGCCTTTTTGTCTGCCCAAATATCTTGCAATAGTTTTCTTGGCTTTTCTTATCAAAAAAATTAAACTCTGCTTTATACATAATGGCCATCCCCCATTCTGAGTCTAATATAAAAGCAACCCAAAATTTATCATAGTCCCAGACTCCAAACCCCATTTTAGGGACGTGCCATAATGGTATTTTATATCATTGAAAGAATTTGATGATGTTTTCATTCATAGCTCTTTGAGGACTACCACACCTTAAAAAGACCACAATTAAATCACAGATTAGAGGGAAAGTCTTTCTTGTCTGAAGATATTGACAAAAAGCTGGACATGGACCCCAAGGTTAGAGTTTCACCTAAAATTTTGTTTATTTAATATACAAATGTCTATTGTGTCTGTCAAATAGTAAAAAGTTGCGTGTTCCTAACTATGAGATCTTATCCCAGATCCATGTCATGGAGCAACAACTGACGACTCTTGTAACTTCCCCTTAATGGCCGTGGTTTAAGCTTACTTCCCCTAGTCCATGACCACCCAGATTGACTATTCAAATGGACCAACCCCATAAACTCCCTTTTCAAATGAGCTTCTATTTAAAGCACTGCTAGCTATATACTTTGCATGTGCATTTGTTATTTACATGCAGTAGTTAAAGTTAGAAGTGAAATATTATCTTTGAGCCAAAGCAATAAATCATTATTTTCTGCAATCGACTTAGTTGCCGTACCTTGTTTTACCTAATACTTCAGGCTGTCCACTTTAATGATATAGCATATTGCTTCTGCTTTGAGCTCTGAGTGATTCATGCTTGTAAAACATGTTGGGTTAAATTACAACGTGTCACATGGGTTTTTTCCTTTATCCATCTCCTTATACTGCTATAAACTAGATGACTTAAGGCTAGAAGAAAAAAAATTATCCTAGGAGATTATAATAATTGAACTATGTATAACTATGATGAAATTCTGTAAGTGAAGTGAAATAGAAACCGGGAAATGTTGATGTATGATTTTTATTAAATCTTTAAGTTCAGCCCTGAGCATGCTTGACGTGCCTGACTCGTAACAAAAGAAAAATAGTAATTAAATTAACGAGTTAGATCAATATGAACATAAAGACATTTAAAAATAAAACTAAGGCGAGATATTCTAGCCACTAATTAAGCGGCAACAACTTCAGTTTGATTAAGCGATCGCTATAAGATAAGTTACTACTTTTTTTTAGTATAAAGCATGTAACTCTTCTTTGCACATTTTCAACTAAGAATAAATTGCTGACAACAGACTGAGGAACCCATAACTGAGAGCAATAGCAAAAGTGCGAATGCACTAAACAGTAAAGACGCATTTGGGTTAAACATTTACATCTGATTAACAATGTGATTACATGACATTTAAGAGATTATCTGATGGGCAGGTGAGTTTTGTGTTTAGGCTTTTGTTTTGTAAGAATACACTGCTTGACACCAGAAGCTACATCCTGTTTGTCCTCTTATAATGCTTTCTCTCTGACCTTTGAGTTTCATTATTTTTTGGTTTAGGTGGAGTGGTTCATGCACCAGAAAGAGAGGAAATATAAATCTTTTTCAGACAGAACATTTCGTGATCCATTTTACAGCCAACAGTGGTATATTGTGAGTAGCTCGTGATGAAGCTTCTAATTTTAATTTTACCATTGTTATAAGACAAGTATAATATCACTATTAGAATTCCAAATCTAGTTCTTCCCATTTTTTTACATGCCCTCATTCATTTTGTATGGATAGAAAAATAATTGTCCCATTTCAGTCAGTATCCAGTCAGGTTTCAAATCAAAATGTATGTATGTTCATGTACTTTCAATGTCAGTCACTTACCAGTAAAGTGTATGAAATTGTAAATTGGCATTAATGTTTTGTCATTCTTTTGCTAAATTTATCTGATTGTGGATTCTATCAGTGTGTATGTCTTTGCGTATTCAATATTGTATATATAAGGGTGGACATTTATCTCTTTTCTGAGAGTGATCAAGCTGGCTCAGGAAAACTGTGGGCTTCAATGAACAGATAATGTCCAAGGACAAATATGCGAGCATATTTTTGTGCCAAGTGGAGGCTATTGTGTTTATTATGTCATCCTTCAAATACTTTTCAACATGCAAGGAAAATGTTTATGTGGGATGTTCAACAACTTTTCACTGTTCTCGGATACAATTTTATGAATAAAGAAAATGTTCTTTCTTCTGTAACAACCACACAACCTTTCTCATCTTGAATTGATTTTTAAGTGCAGAGTTTTCTGTATTGCACATGAGGTTTAAAAATTGGGGAATATGTCACCGTCCTCAAGTATCCCCCAGTTTTAGTCGGTGGGTATTGGATCATGTAATACATTTTGACCAATTGCGCCTAAGTAAAAGTATATGTTGAATTATAGTTACATAAATCTAAGGGGTTTCAAGGACATTTTTTCATCTCTGATGATTGAAACATACTTAAGATTGACTGTCATTTGTAGAGGAGAGCTGATGGTCCAACATATAACATCACTTCTGTGTGGAAGAAATACACAGGACGAGGAATATTGGTAGCTGTGGTCGATGATGGACTTGATGGGAATCATCCAGAACTTTCAGATAACTATGTACTAATTTACATCATTTTATTTTGTATTAATAATACAGTAGTGCTCAAAAGTAAGTTTCCACTGTCTTTTGAGAAACATCTAGTTCCTCTCCAGCTGTGTCTTGTTTCTCTTGAGACACATCTAAGTGGTTTGCAAATTGTTGTGACACACAATGCCAGTGTTTGAACACAATCATAATGCAAGTGTTGGGTATTACAAACTTGCGTTTGTGAATCACATTTTTAAATCACAAGGTTGATTTCCACATGCATGTGGTGAGATTGTGAAGACAGTCATCATTCAATATTGTTTATTTACATGAGCATTTTGCTAGTCCCGCTAACACTGATATGGCTGGCGACAGTGGTTTACGGACCACCGTTTCCCGGAAATGCCCCGCTTCCCCTGTTACCGTTTCAGCCCCGTCTAAGAGTGCTGCGGTTTCACCCGAGAGCGATCTTCTTAATGGAGGCCCTGATGTTCTATGTGAAGTTCCGGAACTGGCAGCCTGTTCTGCAGACCACCGTGCAATCCTGTGGGAGATTGCGGTTGATGCTCGTAAACCGCTTGATCAGCGCAGACGTTTTTGTCGTTGGACTTCAGATCCCCGATTTATTGGTATGAGAGATGAGGACTTTAAGGCTGCTATGGAATT